TTTTTTCATTTTCAGAATTTTTTTAGAATTCTAGGAAAAAACCTGTTGTTTATTTTCTTTTAAAGACTTTATTTATTTATTTGACAGAGAGAGACAGCGAGAGAGGGAACACAAGCAGGGGGAGTGGGAGAGGGAGAAGCAGGCTTCCCGCTGAGCAGGGAGCCCCCAATGTGGTGCTTGATCCCAGGACCCTGGGATCATGACCTGAGCCGAAGGCAGACGCTTAACGACTGAGCCACCTAGGCGCCCCAAAACCAGGTGTTTAAAAAAAAAACAACCAACAGGCCCAAAATGGAGTGGCTTGTGCTAAGTCCACATCACCAACCCGAGGCTTAATGCCTAACCTAACTGCAGTTTCAACCTTCCCCAAGAATGAAATCTTGATGGATTATCAGTCTGGAATTTCCCCGGACAGCACTAGTGAGGTAATCTACCTGACAGCCCCTATGTCCCCCAAGGAGAAGTAACCTTGCCCAAAATAATCCTTCTACCCCCCCACCCCCGCCCATTTATGACTTCCTGGTCCTATCCCTTTCTGTCTTTAAAAATCTTTCCTCTCCTGCAGCCCTTTGGAGCTCCTTTGTATTTGCTAGATGGGATACTGATTCATGAATCTTTGAATAAAACCAAGTAGATCTTCACATTTACTCAGTTGAATTTTGTTCTCTTAAGACTGGAAAGGGGCACATTTGAAAGTGCAATCTTCATTTTATCAATGGAAAATCAAAGCACTTTAAAAATAAAATCTTAAGATCTCTGTATTCAAAGATGCCAATGGATGAATCAGCACTGTGCGCTTTGTGTGCATCCGCTTTATCAGCTCCTCTATTACATTTCTCTGACCGACGTTTCTCTTTAAGTTCCTTAGCTCAGAAACTAAGTTAGCTTCAATTCAATGTTCACATAAATTCAATGAAAATTATTGACTTTAAAGAGATGGTGTTTTATAAGCCCATTTAAAGCAGATCCTGTGCCAAACAGCATGATGGAAATGATGACAATATGAAACTGAACACTACACCCTTGATACAGAAAAGGGCAAGCTCACAAAGGAACGGGTTCAATGTGCAGCCTCCCCACAGAACATATTTATTATGCAAGCTTAGCAGCCAGCACATACAATAATTGCTTAAAAAAAGAAAACTTTAGTGATTCTTTCTTCGTATATAATAGATTCCTTCTTCCCAAAACCTTCATAAGAATGGTGAAAGAAATGACTACTTTCACAACCATCTAAAATATTTGGTTATAAGCTTCAATTTAATTTTTCAAAAAGTCTGACTTCATTTTCAACAGAAAGTTCCTTTTACTGTTCTTATTCCATAATATGCCTTGGACTCTATTGCTTGACCATTTTTATGATGAGCCTGAGAAAAATCAGGCCTATGGAATGCTACAGACCTAAACCTAATTAGCTCTAAATTTTACTGGATATATTTTCCTGTCTTATTCTCTTATGAATATAGCTCTTTTCATTGAAATTATGATTAGGATTTCAGAAAACATTAAAAAAATATAAAACTTCCCTTAGCAAAAATAAATAAAACTTCCCTTAGCAACCTCAACATAATTTCAATATAATTCCCTTCCCTATCAACAATGTTAAAGTAAACAGTAACCATGAAAATAGTGTTAATTAAAGCTAAATATACAGGGGTAAAAAGGAAGCCTAATGTAATCCACATTATGACTGTGTGGATTCCTGTTGCCTTTCATTACTGTTCCTTACTAAATCTCATTCTTGATTAGAAGTTCTAAATTATATTCCAAGTATACCTTCCTGAGTTTAAACAAACAAGAGAACAATTATTTTAGAACAATTACTAATGGCCAGGTCCTTATAAATGTCAATATTTTAAATGTTTAAGGGCTACACATATAAACATCTCATAAATCATATATATTCTTTTTTTTAAGATTTTATTTATTTATTTGAGGGAGAGAGAGAGAGAGAGCACCAGAGGAGAGGAGGGGGAGAGGGAGAAGCAGGCTCCTGTGGGATGCTTGATGTGGGGCTTGATCCCAGGACTCTGGGATCATGACCCGAGCTGAAGGTAGATGTGTAACCGACTGAGCCACCCAGGCACCCCAATCATATATATTCTTTAAAACTAAGTGTTTAGAAGGCAGTCCTTTGTATTACACAGATCCCAACGTTTTCAAAATAGCCTTAAAATCTTCAACAAAGACTCTTAACTCCTGTAGTAGAAATGAACACCTTTCAAAACGTTAAATTGAAGCTCATCAATTTTAAGGAGTCAAGCTTTCTGTAAACCTAAACTCTAACATTTAAAATAAATAGTCAGATGTTTCTTCTTACATTATTGCCGAATTTCCTTAGGCTAAAGAAACACAGAGGAAACAGGTTGGCAAGCGCCATCTCGTGGGCTTCCTAAGAAATATTTTTACTATATTCATCAGTACAGTTCGAGAAGCAAATTTTTATACTTATTCAATACCATATTCTCTATATTCAAAATGTTACTTTAATTTAAATCAAAGTATTCACTAACGGTTAATGTTCCAGGGTCCAAATACCAATAACTGTAATAAAGTGTATTTGTGGATTTGGGGTAAGAGCTTTCTTCTAAAGCACTTGATATATTTATAGCCAAATCGTCACATTTTATCTTTACAACATCCTCAGGAGTTAAGGCTGCAGAGATATATTACACAATAATGAAGCCTGAGAATCTACATACCAAAGGAATTTAAAAAGCATCTAGGCAATGGAGAAGTTAGAATGAGTTTTCTGATTTTGTAGTGTAGCAAAGTCATAGAACAGTGCCTTGCAAAAGAGAGGCCTTTTGTTGTTAATAAAAGCTAAATCAAAAAAGTTAGCAAGAATTCGAAAATTCAGTGGATTTACTGTGTGTGCACGCATGTGCATGTGCCTTATAAGTAAAAGTTTACAAATCGAGTTAGGAGTATATGAAAAAAAACAAAAACAAACAAAAAAAATGAAAGACAAATAGGAAAGGAAATGCCCCCAAAGTCATGTTTACATGATTCTCTTTAGACTTTAGAAACAGAATGATTTTATTATTTTATATATTATTAAAGAATATTAATATTCTACATTTTCATGTAGTCTGGAGTTGCCTCACCACCAGCCCAAAGATGTGTTTTCTTTGCCTCACGGTGTTTTTTTTTTTTTTAAAGGCCCAAGTTAAATACCAACATTTAAAATTAGGAAATTCCCCAATATCTCCTATTGTCTGCTACCTATGCCCACTGCAGGCATCTGAGTTGTGGGCCTTGGTTTACATTTTTTCTTTCTGATTTCCTTAATTTTTCCTTCAGGGTTCTTTTTCCTGGTACTCTTTTTTTGGGGGTGGTGCATAATGACATCCAAGCACATGCTATGGAGCAATGCTATCTGCTTGAGGATTCTCCCCCAGTTTCCTAGGTGAAAGGTGCTTAATTCCAGTTCTGCTATTGGTTGATGATGCAGCAATGCTGAAGGTCTATAGAATACTCATCTTTTATTAACAACATTCTGAGATGCAAAGCTTTGTGAGAGCTTTCTGCTTTGCAAAGGGAAACCCAAGCCTACTAATGGTGGGAAGAACTAGGGAGATATGTGTTATGGTTCGACATTTTCTTTATGGGAGGAAGGAAAAGACTAAATACTTGGGGGAGATAGGGGAGAATGTTACTTTGGTAAAGTCTAGGCTGATTTAAGATTTCATAGCATTTTTAATTTCTGTAGCCTCACACATCTCTTTTAATAAAATTATCCCAGGGCATACCATTTTGCTAGTGTTGCTAATGATTTTTTTCTTATTTGAGTTTTATAAGTGATTATTTACAATATAACCACCATAATATTTTTAGTTGCCTTGTGACAATATGATAGATAATATTTCTATAGAGGCTTTCTCGGGCTGTGAATCTTTCTATAATAAGGCACTGGAATATAAAATGTGAAGCTTATTAAACTTCCTCTCTGGGGGTGCCTGGGTGGCTCAGTCGTTAAGCGTCTGCCTTCAGCTTAGGTCATGATCTCAGGGTCCTGGGATTGAGCCCCACATCGGGCTCCCTGCTCTGCAGGAAGCCTGCTTCTCTCTCTACCACTCCCCCTGCTTGTGTTCCCTCCTTCGCTGTGTCTCTCTCTGTTAAATAAATAAAATCTTTAAAAAATAAAAAAAAAAAACTTCCTCTCTGGTTTGAGTTCTTTAGAAAAGAGAAAGTGTGTAAAGTGATAATAAATACACTGTTAAATATACCAGTTCATACAAGGTTTTTTGTGTGTTTTTTTTGTATTTTTGGTAATTAGGAAAAATTTGAGATTATTTTGTAATGAGGAAAAGTCTGAGATAGATGTAACCTAAGGAAACAGATTTGAAATATAGAACACAAGAGTTTAAAGTGGCAGACTTCATTCATTTCAGTTTATATTACCATTTCTAAGTCTGCCTTAAAATCAAAGTTTTTAAAAAGCGCTACTTGATGGTATTTATTATTAAAAGCTGCTGCATTTTCTCAATTAAAAAAATTTAGATGAAATTCACCTACTATAAATTCTTAGTCTCTTAATCTAGGAATTGTTACTTAAATGTAGTTTAATTATATTTCCATAAGCCTTCTGTTTAAATTTTAAAATAAATATGTCAACTTTTAAAAATTATACCTTGCCATCTAATTATGGCAGCTGAAAACACATAGTAAGCAACATATTAAAACTCCATACTTACTTTAAATGTAACTTTATCAGTGAAAAAACTACCTTGGAACGTTCTTTTGCAAACTAATATTAATACACTTAACATACCTTAATTTTCCTTCTTCCCTTGGCAACAGAAAATAGCTTATTTTAAGCTGAAAATATTGGATGTTTTCTACTGAGACTTTCATTAACTTTTAATTAAGTCAAAATTATTTCTAAAAATTGTTTTTCAATTTTCAAATGCCTCCGTTTTCCTAACATCAATTATTATACTTGAAAAACAAGATGAAAGGAAAAAGGTTTTGATTAGAAGAGTGAAATCCAAAGGCACCTGGAGCCGAATGAGGTCTCGCCCCGAAGGAATAAGTCCTGAGATCTGTTTGCCCCGTCGAGAGAGAGAGAGAGAGAGAGAGAGAGAGAGAGAGAGAAGGAGGGAGGGGGGAACTGAGGAACAGTAACAGAGAGAGAGCAAGAGCTCCTCTGTCTGGAGAAACCGAGAACAGCAGGAGAGGGGTGGCGCAAGAAAGAGGTTTGGGTCCCTCCAGAGAACTGCAGAGCCATCTGTCTGAAAAATTCAGGATGACAGGCCTCTAAGTATTCTGCAAGTCTCTCTACTTGTATAGCGATGTCTGTTTCCTTCTTTCTATTACTGTATTATTAATCCTTCTTGTTCCTTTTTCTTGTTCTTTTGAAATAACTTATTCTTTTAATTTCGACTAAAAGAGGGAACAGACAAGTTGAGAATCATTTCTCATTCAAGGAAAATAACTGAAAGTGTCTGGTCAATTTCTAAATATTGTGATGGAGTGAAAAAAAAATGAATTGTTTTTTTGGCTCTTATGTTTAACTACGTATTTTGCACACATAAATAATGAGCATCCTTACAACATCCAAACCTAAGAATATTAACAAATGCCATTCAAAGACTTAAATAGGCTGTATCACCAAAAACAACTTATAGGAGTGGCAAAGTCAATTTCACCAACTTTTTTTTCACAATTAAGTAAAATATCATTAGCAATATGTGAAATGTTCCATAAACCACTGACTTCATCTTTCTTTGTGGGTTTCAGCTTATTCTGAAAAACTATCACTAACATGAGCTTTTTACTCCATTGCTTTGTGCCTTCTATTCAGCTACTTTAAAGACACTTAATGAGCCATTTTTCAAACAGAGGACTGGGACGCCTGGGTGGCTCAGTTGGTTGGGCATCTGCCTTGGGCTCGGGTCGTGACCCCAGCGTCTTAGGATCAAGCCCCATGTGGGGCTCCCTGCTCAGCGGGGAGGCTGCTTCTCCCTCTCCCACTCCCCCTGCTTGTGCACTCACTCTGTCAAATAAATAAATAGAATCTTTAAATAAACAAATAAACAAACAGAGAACTAATATCCAAACGTCCTGTGAACCTGGCTAACCCATCAAGGTCTAAAAGGGAGGCTGGAACAAAGAAGGGCATCCCTTCACCACCTCCTTGCTCATAGCCTGAAAAGATCTAAAAGAACAGAGAAATCAAACCAGAAGTACCCAACATTCCCCTTACATTTAGTCTGGTCTGTCCAGAAGGAGGTTTCGGTTTCCAGTTGAATACTGGACACCCAACAACATTAAAAGGACCAACCAATGAACCTGGATTAACAAGTCCTGTGTTTGCAGATCCTGTTTAGTGTTCCTTCTCTTCTGCTTCCAAAGTTGGAAGAAGGATGAAGAGACTTTTTTTTTTTTACAGAATATAAAGCAGTATAAATTCAACCAGAATTTCACCAAAAACTTTTCCAAAAAAGTTAAGCTGACAAAAGCAACCAATCCCTAAGTAAATGATGTGTCCTGCCCTTGGCATGCAATATTGCAGGAATACATATTTATACACATATTTCTTCCTTTAAAGACTGAAGATAGACAACAAAAACAATATAAGAGAGATTTTGAGATGTTTACTACTGCTAACTTGATTAACACATTGTAAAGTCATAGGAAAAATTAAAGAGTGCTCTACGTTTCTACCCTGGAAATTGGTAAACTACAGAGGTACCGGGGCACCTGGATGGCTCAGTCAGTAGAACATGCGACTCTTGATCTCCATCCAGGTTGTAACTTCAAGCCCCACGTTGGGTGTAGAGATTACTTAAAAATAAAATCTTCTAAAAAGATAAAAAATAAACTACAGAAGTACCATGGTTTAAGAACTACTTTATTCACTTAAATATTTTTTGAGCACCTACTACGTGTGAAGCACTGTGCTAAGCACTGTGAGCACAAAGAAAGAAAGAATGAGTCACCTTACAGACACCATCAGCCTAGAAAGATATAAGGATACATAACTACTGTGAAAGGAACACACTGGCAAATGTCACAAGAGATTTGTAGATAAAATGATAAAGAATTCAGAAGGCCGGGGATTCCTTTGGAATGGGTGGTGGGGGCGGGGGCTACCGACTGCAGTACTGAAGGAAGGGCAGAGCGAGCCCCGGAAATGCAGACAAGGGGACGGACATGGAAGCCGGAGCAAAGCAGAATGGGCACGAGCTGACAGCTCACTGGGTACAGAGACAAGGGAGGGAGGACGGAAGAAGGAGAGCTAAGGATCTGGCGCTGGGAATGTGCCGTCTGGAGTGCATAAGAAATCCTGCCAGAGATTTGGAGGGGGGTGCCAGGGCAGTGCTGGAGACAGAGACTCAGGAATCACCCACCCGGTGCGCACTGTTGAAGCCTGAAGACTCCCTAGTGAGAAACGGAGGCCGGTTCTTGAAAAGCAGACATTTCAGGCAGCAAAGAGAAGAAACTGAGGAACAGCCACAGGGAAGAAAAGGAGTAGCAGGAGAACACAGTGTCTTGAAGGACAAGAGAAAAAAGTTTCAAGAAGAAAGAGGCAGTCAAAGATAGCAGAGAGTGCAGAAAGATCAAATATGAGGACTGAGGGAAGCCACTGATCACTGGCTACTCACTGAGAAAGTACTTCCGGCCAAACAGAAGCCGAACATGAGGTGGTAGCTGTGGCAGGAGGCTCTCCTTGACCAAACCCGAGTCAGGCTCCTCCAAGCCCTCTTCTTGACTAGCCTCGGCCTTGACCCCGAGGCCTCACCAGGCCTGCAAAGCCGTTTGAGCAAGAAATCCGCTAAGTGGCTTTAGAGAGAATCCTCCTACCTCTGATATTTGATCAAATTCCTCACCCCCGGCCCCTGATATCTCATCACCCTCGTCTGCCCTCACTAAGAATCCTGTTGGGTCAGTTTGGCAAGAATTCCCCCTACCTTGTCTCCTCTTAATAATTTTCCATCCCCTAACACCCCTGCAACCTGCTCCTTGGCTATAAATCCTCCCCTGTTCTCAGATTCAGAGTTAAGCCCCATCTCTTGACACCTGACACGATAGTCCTGAGAAAAGTCTTCCTTGTTCTTTAAACAAGTGTCAGAAATTTGTTTTTTCCTTCGGAGCTGCCCACCTTTATTTTCTCCGTGCTGAATGACATTCCCAAACACCAAACTATTACAATCAAACAGTGGCTGAGAAGCGATGGGTAGACAGGGTTGAGGAGTAAGCAGCCATGCAGGAAGAGGCGGTGGGGCATACAGAATGCTCTTTCCATAACCCTCCACTAAGAGGTGGAGCACAATTACTCATGCTGGTACGTAAGCGGGTCCCAAAGTTGAGGAAAGGCTTTCTCACACTGAGTAGGAAAGCATGGCTGTGATGTAAGGGAGACAATCCAGGGGAGAGCAGGAAATAAGACAAGGAAATGAGACAAGACAGAGAAAAACGAATTCCCACGCTTATTGTTTTCAGTCCTCTTGCATTATACTTTTTTTGTAAATCACCTCATTTCTTTCTGGAATAATGAGAGGTGTTAATAAATAACAAAAATTTTCTTTTATCCATTAAAAATATGAATGTTTGAACTGTTGTTTGTATCTACTCTTCTAATAAACATATGACAACTAATAGGAATGCTTATGTAGCACCCAGATTTATTATTATGGGAGAAAGACTGTATGTTTTCATTTTCAGACCTCTAAAAGGTTAAGTTAGCCATTTTCATACTGAATTCCTATTCAATTTGATTATGTTCCCTACCGTGAGGGTAAAACGTGAACAAACCAAGCTAATTTATGTGCAATTCCTTTGTACTATTGAAATGAAAAGGAACAATAGTTTAATGAAGTGGAATTTGTTATCTAATTATGCCAAATAATTTAGAAACATCTGCCGATGGTTAGTAATACTATAGTTAAACCTCAAAGAATCTGCTTCCAGAGAGATTTCCATTTTATTCAAGCCCTTGTGAGCTTCCACTTGGGAAATCCATATTAGAGTATGGAACCAAGGGATGACATAATGGCACATTTACTGCATTAAAAAAAAATTAACAAATGAACAAAGAAATGAACAGTAGAGGGTGTGTATCATATAGATTTAGACCTTAAAATTAACTCCCAAATTTAAGAAACAATAATGTAAAATCCAAAATTCATTCAAGTATCTATTGAGTAGTTGGGATGCATCAGACACTGTGGTGGTTGTTAAGGATACAAACAAGAAATCCGTAGCTTTCGCATTAGGGAACTTCATCTAACAGGGAAGACGAGAGAATACATCTACTAACCACTATATCACCACATGATAAGTGGTAGGACAGAGATGTGTACGGGGCACAATGGATGCAGAAAAGGTGTAACTAACTCACAAAGGAAGACTACTTAGAAGACTATTCAAGCTGAGTTTTGCAAGATGTGTAGAGGAGAGTGAGTGCAAAGGACGTGGGAAATGACTGTGCCAAAGGCACACTGAGTGCAATCCCTTCTGGAAACTTCAAGTAGTTCAGTACAGCTGAAGAGCAGCCTCTGAGGAGGAGACAGTAAGAGACAGGTAAGCAGGGGTCCTACTCTAAAAGCCTTATATACAAACTAGGGAATTTGGACTTAATCTTAATGGTGACGGGGACCCACTGGAGGAGTAGAAAAGTAAACTGTTAGACTAGCCAAATTCTAAGAGGCAGGTTTAAATTTCCAATTATGGACTCTTACATATTAATAATAATCCAAAATAATAAAGGAAGAAAAAAGATAAATGATCCAAAATAATAAAGGAAGAAAAAGATAAATGAAAGCAAATGTTTAAACTGATTCAAGGTGGGGCACCTGGGTGGCCCAGTTGGTTAAGTGTCCAACTCCTGATTTCGGCTCAGGTCATGATCTCAGGGTCGTAGGATCAAGCCCCACATCAGGCTCTGCATTTAGCAGGGAGTCTGCTTGAGATTCTCACTCTCCCTCCCTCTAAAAAACAACCTAGGCAATGCCCCCACTTCACATGACTCACTCCCTCACGTCCTTCAAGTCTCTGCTCAAAATCCGTCTCAACTGTGAGGCCTTCCCTGACCAGGCTGCCACGTAGCTAGCCCCATCTCCTCACCCTGCTTTATACTTCTTCATAGCACTAGCCACCTGGCACACTATACATTTTTTTTCAAGATTTATTTATTTTAAAGAGAGAGAGAGTGCACATGCATGAGCGTGCAGGGGGGAGGGGCAGAGAGAGAGGGAAATAGAGAATCTCAAACAGACCCCATGCTGAGCATGGAGCCAATGCGGGGCTCCATTTCATGACCCTGAGATCATGACCTGAGCTGAAACCAAGAATGGGACACTTAACCAACTGTACCATCCAGGCACCCCACACAATACATTTTTTATTGTCTGTCTCCCTCAACTGCAAACATAAATTCTTTGAGGGCAGGAACTAAAACATATGTGGCACATTTTAGGTCCTCAATTCATTGAACAGATGAGTAAACAAATCACAAAAGATGATGACCCATCCTAAGCCTCAGAGCTATCCTCAGAAAAGAATGAGGAATAGTACACCTCTTGTTCCTGCTTCCTTCTCTCACTCTATGGTACTATCCATTCCTGCCCCTAATCCCAAATGCCCTGGGCTTTTACACTGTTCTTATTCTTAATACACCAGCCCCCTTCAGGTCCTTCTTAGTAGTGTCTCACACTCTACATAAAAACCGCCACTTTCTTTTCTCTTACAGTGCAGCTCCCTCAGTCAAATGCTTGCTCTGTCTACTTTAAGATCTTCGGTCCACAAATTAAAATCATTCTCTC